GAAGTTAGCTGATACAAAAAAATTAAATAAAATTAAGGCGTTATATCTACTGGGTTACATTATGGTGGGACATTACAGTGAAATTATGAGAATGAGGTTCAATCTTTAAAATAATGATCTGTATATGTTTAGCACTACTGGGGTTCTAAACCCCCCAAAGTGTTTTACATCACAGTCATTCACTCGTTCACAGACTGTTGTAGAACCTTGAAGTTTTACAGTGATTAGATCTCTCCAATGAATGACTTTTGAAGCCAAGTATAGTGGTCATGTGACTCGTTTTGATCCAAATAGGTTTTTGTTTTGAGGGGAGTAAGGGTTGGTTTATGCTTGACGCGTTCGCGAGGTTCGCACGGCGCCGCGCGGCAAAATTGCGTCATTTTAACAACCACGGCCCAAACTTTACGCACCGCGCACCTAGGAAATTTTCTTACCACGCAGACGGTCGGACACGGAAAAACATGGCGGACTGGCAAGAACTAGTATGGCAGAGGTTCATAAATACAGACATTCGTACGATTCAGCTCTCAATGATCACCGTGATCAACATGTTGTTAATAATTCTTGGAGAGAAATAGCTCGCACTGTCGGAAAAAACGAGCACGCTGTTAAAAAATGTTGGAATGCCATGTTGTAAACAACAGTAATTTCTACTTCTACTATGGTGTAGTGTTGGATGCATGCCATAGAGCTCCATGCTGCCCCCTACAGTTTAGGAGAATATTGGCTCACCGCAGAGACAAGCCGCATGAACCATAAACGCTGCAAGTTGTGAATCGCGTTCCATCTGCGAGCCGCATCACCAAGCGGAAAGTAAATGTGTCAAGCATGAACCAAGCTTTAAAGTCCCAAAGTCATCGTCACACACTGGTGAAGTTACGCCCTGCATTTGACCCGTCCCCATGGGGAGCGGTGAGATTAAGCTGTGGGAACTATTTGGTCTTCTGTCGGGTTTCAGTCACTACGAGAATCAGTCAGAGACAGGAGAGGTTTTCATCTTGTTCACAACCTACCTTTGTTGTAGCGTCAGTCACGCATCATCATTTGACCAATCACAGTTGGGGAGACAGCATGCTGCAGACACGACGGCAGCGGCGCTGACAGCACGTATGACTGCTGTTGCTTCAGCATGTCGCTGTGGTTTAGAGCTTAAAGGCCCAGCGTGTAAAACCATTCGACTCTTTAGCGCCACACAGTTCAGAGTAAGTATTGCAGCTCCGGTAGCCCACACTAGGGTTGGGCTGTTTTTCCATTCGCCCACCATTAGTCCAATAAATGACGATGGGCCGTGGTTTGTGCATGTGACTGGTTAAGGTATGATTCACTGACTGATTTGTGAACACAGAAGAAGTCTAAACATGGATTATTTTATGGATGCACGCCACGAATTAGAATTTTCTTTTTGTTTAACTCATTCACTGCCAGCCGTTTCCTGATCAGAAAAGCTCTTCGCTGCCAGCGTTTTTCAGCGTTTTTACTGTTTTTTTAAGAGTCACAGAACGTTGCTCTATGATGATGTCAACGCCAAAACTACCAACACAAAACGGAGACTCACCTCGCGTTTCGAGCGTTATTTGTTCTTTCATATCCGTTGTCGAATTGTGATCGGTAGAAGCTTTTCCGTTTTTCGCCTCACTTTTTTTACAGCAGTGGCCCAAATCGATCTCCTAACACATAGATTTTCTGCTTCCTGATCATGTGACGTGTGACGTACGCAGATGAAGATCGGCTTCAGAGCTGGGATGTTTGTTCTCACGGTGCGGGGGCTCGTTCCGACGCCCACACAGTAAAAAAATGCCAATGACAGTTAAAGAGTTGTTAAAGTGTTGAAAGGAAGTAGGGCTGAAATGAATCATCAAATGGTTCGATTCATTAAGTTCCTCAATTCATTTTTTTACTGATTCGAAGCTTCGTTAAACGTGCGCTCCACAGTCTGAACACATTTTACTGGAGCTCTACGTGGTGATCTCGGTGCTGTGGCGGGTAAAAGAGAAACCAGCAACGACAGAAACCATTGTTAGAGGCAGAAACGGTCCAACGTTTGGATCAAGAGCAGGGATTAAAGTTCTCTGTCGTGGCGACGGAAATCCATCAGTTGGAATGATCAGAAAAATGTTTCGTCAAATCTCTCTCTTTCGCTCCCTCGCTCCTGTTGCTAATTGAAACCCGCACCGGTGTTTAAACATGTTTCTCAACCTTTCTGCACCGCCCAAGCAGTGTTGCCAACTGTTTTTGACTGAAAGTAGCTGAAGTTCCCTGCAAAAGTCGCTAGATGTTGCCAGATGACGTCACGTGCCAATTTGCATACGACGCAATGACGTCATCTGGTTTGTGTGATGACGACACCACGTTTGCGTCATGATATCACCGGTCTTGTAGTGAATCAAATAAAACCCACGTGATTTTATTTAAAAAAAATTTTAATTCATTTTTTATTATTTTATTAAAATAAAAAAAACCATAGAATACAAAACAGCAGCCTTTAAAACATCAAGGAGCGATGGCACAAAAAATGGAAGGAATGTTTCTATTTTGTCTGAAGAGAATGGAACTCGTAAACACAAAAATATTAAATTGATAGGAATGTATGTATGATTGAATTAAAATGAAATTTGCTCTTGTAGTTTTCAAGTGCCTTGAGATGTATTCTTCTGTTGTCATTCAGTGCTATATATTGACCTAACAGATAATATATATATTTTATTTTTGTTTGGTTTTGTTGTTTTTAGTACTTTTGTGTAAAAAGAAGCAGGCCGTATTTAGTATTCAGAAATGTTACATGCAAACTGCCAATGACCTGAGTGTTTGTCTTACAGTATTATTCTGTTTTTTTATAAAAGTTTTAAATGTGCTACGTTATTGAACTCATCATAGAGTTCCAATGTTCCTTGAATGCAACACAAGTGGTGCGAGAAGCCATGTGTGAGTGCGACGCTGCCTGCCAGTGCCAGCCGAGCTCAGCGGCCGAAATGCGGCAGGATGGCGGAAGGAGCGGTCGCCCTTTATGTAGCTCCGGTGGCTATCTCAAATAATGGACTTGTGAAAACCCACAAAAGGTTTGATTGGTCAATGGGGGTAGCGTGATCATGCTGCACGCACATGCGCAGATCATTTTCTTTCTGATCCTCTGGAAGGAAGGACGGAGTGTGAATCTTCACTTGTCTCCTGATTCGATTTGATTATTGGGTCAACGATTCAATTCGATTCGATATCCCGATGCATCACGATTATTTCATATTGATTTGTTTTTATCGATAAATAGATGTCAGATAATTGCTTTTTATTTTTTTTTATCAAAAATGTAATTGACACAACCTGCCATCCCTCAAAAGCTCTCCATTAACAACAGGTTAGGACAAAACATTTAAACATTTAAGAAGATTTAACAAAGTAAAACATGTGTTTCCTCGTTCAACACCACGCCTCAGGCTGAGAAAAACACGCTTTGCAAAAACTCACAAAATCTAAAAAAGTACTGAAAACCTACAGGACACATAATGTAATTATAAGATACATCATGGGTTCATATATGAGTGTTTAATGTCTCTGAGCAGCTCTAGAGTCAGATATTTATGCCACAGTTGAAGGGCGTCAGAAATAACACCAAATGAAATGTTTGACTTAGTTTGTTATTTTATTTGAACCCAGTGGTTCATTTCTGAAATGTTGGAGAATGAATCAAGTTCTGTTTGATGCAGAAAATAATAAAACATAAAACAAATTCTACACTTCCAATCATATTTAAGATGTGTGTTTTCAGGGTCCGAAATTAACACTCGCCACTCGCCAAATGCGAGTAAATTGCTCCATTTGGTGAGTAAATTTTTGAGCTCTACCTGCCACCTGGCGAGTAAATGTTTGCACCAAATTAGTTATGTTTATCAGTCATCTTCCACGGATTTCTGATACTCCTCCCGCCTGCACGCAACGTACACAAACGTACGCGAAACGTGAACGCCGCATCCAACGTCATTTCCACCTATCCCATTCAATCAGTTTATCAAGTTAGCAGTTAGCTTCGTGTTAAAACTAGCGATGAAATGTGGCGGTTTTTAACTGGAGTCAGCCAGCCTTCCAAAGGAAAACTCGTCGAACTGGAAGAAAAACCACCAGGACCAGTGGCAACCAGAAGATTTTGTGAAAAGTGGCGAACTGGAGACGGCGGAGTCGTGAGACAATGGCTACATTATGATGGCCACGTAGCGTTGCTGCCTTTCACAGACAACTGTCCCTCGGCATTCTTCAAATATCCAAAAAAAATGCCCATACTTCCATCTTTGTCTTCTTTGAGGGATAATAAATGTCCTAAGCGCTGCCGTCTCCTCCTGCCATTATTTCAGCTTTAGCTTAAAGAAAGTTTTGGTCGTAAACAACAAAGTGCGCAAGTGCCGCCGGCAACTTCCAGCAGATGATACGGTGGCTGGTAAGGGTCACCGCGCCTACACCGCAGCCACGGTAATCCACCGAGATATATTTTTTAAACAAGACGGTTATTATTATTGTCTACGTTTTTACCGGGGTTTACTGCTACACCGGTTACCGTGACAACCCTAGCCCTGACACACTTTCAGATATTCTCATGGTGCAGCTGTGTTCTCCAGAGATCAAGGACCAGGACCCAAATGAGGCTGTAATGCTTTGGCACAAAGACGGTGTCAGAAGCAGGAAGCCAGACTTCATGGACAGAGAAAACAAGGAGTCTGACTAGATTTCAATGAAAGAGTTCATAAAAACATCTCTAAAAATAAATAAATGAATAAATAAATAGTAAAAATGACAAAAGAGTTGTTTTCCTTATTAATTGATGTTTTAATTATTTTGTCACTCTGTTTGGAATCAACATAATATAGAATAACATGCTTTAGGTAGATCTAAGTCATTTAGAATTTTGGCCGGTAAAAAATATGCTTGGTCAGTAGATTTTCATCATCTACCAGCCAACTTGGCCGGTGAGTAAAAAATGTAATTTCGGACCCTGATCATGTGTCTGTTTCCTACAGATGTTCCACAGCTGGCGCTGGTTAAAGAAGAAGCTCCTGAAGAACAGAGTGCTGGTGTGGACCAGCAGGACCCAGAACACCTCCACATAAAGGAGGAACAGGAGGAGCTCTGGACCAGTCTGGAGGGAGAGCATCTCTGTTTGAAGGAGGAGACTGAAGCTGTCGGGTTTCCTGTTACTGCTGTTTCTATAAAGAGTGAGGATGATGAAGAGAAACCTCTGGTCTCACAGCTTCATCAGCAGCAAATAGAAGACAGAGATGTTCCAACCAGCAGCTCAGCTGACCAGATGGCAGCAGAAACTGGTGGAGGAGCAGGAACTAGCAGGAACCCAGATCTGAACCCTCATGAACAAACATCTGATTCTTCAGAGACTGAAGTTAGTGGAGATGATGATGATGAAGATGATGATGATGATGATGATGATGATGATGTGAATCTGGACTCTGAGCTGTCAGACTCTGGGTCTGAAACTGGAGATGAAGATGATGACTGGAATGAGAGCAGGTCTTCTGAGTCAGATGGTAAGTCTGTCAACAAGTTCTTCACAAGTGGTCTCTCCAGAGACACGTGAGGGAGACAAGTCATCCAGCAATAAGGTCTTCAGGCTGTTTGGTTCATAAGAAATGTGTTAGAGTGAAGCAACATGTAGACTCGTGCAGGAAAGTCCAGAAGAAACCTAAATCATTTAGTCATGATGAGTGTGGAGAAAGGTTTACTACAAATGTAAATAAACAAATCACATGAGAGTCCACACATAGCAGCTGCTGTTCCAGAGTATGGGCCAGCCTCATCCCACCCATACTCTGCTTCTGGCCGCTAACAAGATGGCGCCTGTGTTTGGAATAGCCACAGGTCCGTTTCCACATTCCCGCCTGGCCACGGGGCAGCGTTGTGTCTCCGTCCATGTTTCCTCGGGTCTGTTTATCCTGGTTCTTCAGTGGTTTCCCTTCCTGTTCCCTCCATGAGTGGACTTTACACACCGTGGATCTGACCTGCTAACTCCAGCTGTTTCTGCTTCTGGCAGGATCCTGGTGTAGGTACCCAGGAGTCCAGATGCTGCAGGATGAAGTGTAGAGCCATGCTGATGGTGTAACGTGATGGAAGTGGTTACTTTTACTGAATGATCAATAAGATGTGATATTCCATCTAATTATAAATGATCAATCTTATTGGTCTTTGAATATTTGATTTAATACGACCTTAGGAACACACACTTCATATTAATTCAGACAGAGTCAAGAATATAGTTTATAAAAATTAGTATTTCTAAACTAATGATTACATGACTGTTAGGGATTTTATCAATAACCCAATACCTGCAGCTGGAGAGAGAGGAGAGACAACAAGCAGACAAGTCACCAAACTGCAATCAGGGGCAGAAGCTCAAGGCAACTGCCCCGAGTTTCTGCTCTCAGAGTTTATTTATAACAAAGATAAGACTGTGTGTGTGTGTGTGTGTGTGTGTGTGTGTGTGTGTGTGTGTGTGTGTGTGTGTGTGTGTGTGTGTGTGTGTGTGTGTGTGTGTGTGTGTGTGTGTGTGTGTGTGTGTGTGTGTGTGCGCTTTTAGACATAGAATAATACATTCAGTTAATAATAAACATAACATAATCCCTCCTGTTTATCCGAATAGGATAACCAAACAAAAAGAAAACAAATAAATTAATCAAAACCTTCAAAACCTCTCGATTCACTGCGCTCCTCTCTCCAGCTCCTCTCAGTCTGGCTTTTCAACCGTTTGTGCAGACCTCTTAATCAGCTGATGTGCACCAGCTGCCCTGTGGGGAGCAGCAGCAGGCCAAAGGGTTCCAGATAATGGCTCCCTCTGGTGGGGGAATTTAGCTGGATCAAAGGGTTCACCTCACAGCATGAACAGAGGGAGATAAACTCATCAGCCCAAATACAGGGGGCTGTAACAGTCTCATAAAATGTTTAAAAATATATGATGATCCCTAATCATTTTTGTCAGGCATATTTTTTCGTTTCTCTGAGCAGAGACTGTCTAAACGTCATGGTAGAAAATAGTTTGCATTTAGCAAAAAATCATGTTGACGAGTTTATTTGAATTATTCCAACAAGAAGTATGTAAATGCCAGAGCAGGTCACTACAAACCCCACAGACGGGAGGGGGGCATTGTAGTTGTCACCTTTTTCCACACCCCGAGTTTGCAGGTATGTTACCACCAGCGTAATTAGCAGTCTTACTGTATTTACGCTTATCCTTAGCCAGCAGTTTCAGGTAGGATTTAATGTCGCCCGCTCTGGCCCCAGGTAAACATTTGACTATGGTTGCTGGAGTCTGCCACCTTTCTGACTATGGAGCTGCCAATTACCAGAGTTGGGTTGTCAATGGGTGCGTCAACATTTCCATCCGTGTCATACATCAGCTTTTTGTAAACCAGCTCTGTTTTTTACGCGGAAGTATTATTTGACCAATCAAATGTAGCCCTTCTGAAATGCGGCCAATCAGATGGGTCCGTTCACGTAATACGCCCGCCCCCTACATAGACCTTTTGGATGGAAAGCAACACCCGAACTGAGTTAGCAGCGCCGTTCCCTTGTTCGTCATGCTGGCTCAGAGCAATGAACGCACTTTGTGGTGAGGTTTCTGGAATCAGCGCTGCTTTCAAACGTGAACGTGAGTCCGCTCGATGTCGTTAATCATTTTTACCGGGCTGACTCTGACACGTGCCGGTGAACCAACCCACCTTCATATCGCTAGTGTTCCACCGGGTGGTGATGTTAGCCCCAGGCTCCGGTTAGCTTCCAGCTAAAAGGCTACAGCACTCTCCTCCCAGTCCCAACCTGCTAAAGAGGGCCTGGAAAAGTTCCCCCACACATCAAAGTGATTTTTCATTTATGAGCTTTTATAACCTTGTTTATCAGGATAGTTGATTTGCTGCTGCACATAAACTGTCAGTCAGAAGCTCTGCTAGCCGGTTATCTTAGAGGAGCTAGTTCATTTTGTTAGCTTGTTATCAGAATCAAAGTTGCAGTTTCATCCTCTGAGCTGCTTTTTAAGATCTAGGTAAACTTGTTCAATTTGGGGTTAAAACCAAACGTTTTCACATATTTTCCATGTAGTTTTTTTTGTCAGTTCCTCTTCTGAAAGATTTGTTTTTCTCTTTCCTCAGAAAATCTTAATATTCTCCTAGTTTGGCCCAACACCATTCACATTCCAATTGCAGCAACAGCCTTATATCATAACCACATAAGTGGAGAAAATGTTCAGTAGCAATGAGAGAATTTGCTGTTGCATTTAAGTGATGTTAACTGTTATTTAACATTTAAACTTATTTTCTGATTTTTTTATTTATTCAAAAAAACCCTGGTAAGGGATGTTTTTCTGTATTTGGAGCATCAGAAAACGTTTTATGGTGGTGGTGATGTTTTAAAGTCACTGAGAAACTGCATGCATGCAGTTAGTTGTTTTGCTGCTAATACAGTAGCAGGTGCAGCTGCATATTTTTTCAATAAAAATGTTAAATGTTATGTTGTAATGGAATTCATGCATTTGTTAGGCCTGACTTGAGCTGAGTGGGACCGGAGCGAGAGTTTGGATTGTAGCTTGTATTTATGACCCAAGCGCGGAGTGACTGACGCCGGACAGATAGACATGCGTTTGCTCTAGGAGCCAAACCGTAACAGGCTAGTGAGCACGGCGGCTCCAAAAGGAAACAAGCTGACTTACTATGAGTCGGCAGGGTGAGTAGCTTGGGCTGGTCTGGTCAGAACTGGTTAGAGTAATCCGGTAGGATTCGGTGAGGACTCGGAACACAGTCTGGTTAGGATCGATGACTGAGTGATCTGGTGTTATGCTGCACTTCCTTATGTAGACGTGGCAGGTGACGTGAGCCGGAAGGCTGGCGCTGGGAATGCTGGGTAGTGGAGTTTGACTGGGCTGAATGAGTGTGGGTTCCTCCGGGGGAGGATGTCGAGGGCTGAGAGGAAGGCAGCGTGACGGGACCCCCACCCGAGGGACAGCCCCAGAAGTCCCAGGGCGACTGGCCCAGAAGTCAGAGATAAGCGAGGGGTCCATGATCGTGCTCGTCGGCTCCCAGGAGCGTTCCTCAGGACCGTAACCCGCCCAATCCACCAGGTATTGCCAGCCTCTGCCACGGCGACGGGCGTCCAGCAGGCGCCGCATGGCGAAAATCCCATCCTCGCCAACCCCTCGAGGCGGAGGCTCGGGTTCCGGAGGAGGAGCGAGGGGAGAAGTCCGTACAGGCCTCAACTGGGACACATGGAAGACAGGATGGACTCTGAGAGGCCTGGGCAGGCGGATGCGGTAAGCCACCGGGTTAATGACCCTCTCCACCGGGTAGGGTCCCACAAACCGTGCAGCTAGTTTCCAGGAGCCAGCGGGCAGGCGCATGTTCCGGGTAGACACCCATACCCTGTCGCCAGGTTTGAAAACCAGCCCCGTCCGGTGGGGGCGTCTGTGCTGGCGAGCGTACTCCGTGTTGGCTCGCTGGATGGCTGCCCGAGCACGGATCCAGGTGAGGCGGCAATGCCGGACCAGGGTCTGGGCAGCGGGGACCTCAGTCTCTGGTTCCTGGTGGTGGAAGAGAGGAGGCTAGTACCCGTAGCAGAGCTCGAATGGGGAAAGACCAGTGGCCGAGGAAACGTGGAGATTATGGGACATCTCCGCCCACAGGAGGTATTTGGGCCAAGTGGTTGCCTGAGACAAGGCAAAGCAGCGGAGATACCGACCAAGTTGCTGATTGGTACGCTCGGTCTGCCCATTGGTTTGGGGGTGGTAACCAGAGGAGCGACTGCTACTGGCACCAACCAGCCGGCAGAATGCTTTTCAAAATCTGGACATGAACTGGGGCCCCCGATCTGAAACAATGTCCTGGGGGAAACCACGGAGGCGCACCACCTGCTCCAGGAGGATCTCAGCCGTTTGCTTGGCTGTGGGCAGACCAGGAAGCGCCACCAGGTGGACCGCCTTCGAGAACCTGTCCACGATGGTTAGGATGGTCTCGAGCTGGTTGACAGGAGGTAGTCCGGTCACAAAGTCCAGACCGATGTGGGACCATGGTTGGTGCGGTATTGGGAGAGGTTGTAGATCTCCGGTCGGGGGTTGGTTTGGTGTCTTGGAACGGGCACAAGTGGGACACGCGGCCACATATTCCTTTACGTCCTTGGCCATGGAGGGCCACCATAGCGCACGTTGCAGGAACTGGAGGGTTCGGGTCTCCCCTTGGTGCCCAGCCAGACAGGATGCATGCCCCCAAGCCAGGGCTTCAGAGCGGTAGGAGGAAGGCACATAAAGCCTGTCGGAAGGTGTATCGGCAGGTGCGGGATCGGTGGGCAAGGCAGCTCGGATGGCATCCTCTACCGGCCAGTGGAGAGCAGCGATGATCTTCTGGGCTGGGAGAATAGGAGGTGGTTCCCTGGCGGGTGCAGACTAGGTGTAGCGGTGGGAGAGGGCATCAGCCTTGAGATTCTTTGAACCGGGACGATAGGCCAGGTGGAAGTGATACGGCTCAAAGAAAAGCACCCAGCGGGCCTGACGGGG